TTCAAGTCCCTGTCGTGATGAAAACCACACCACTGTGGTATCCTTACTTTGACATGCTTACATTCTTAGACTTGCTGTTGTCAAAGGTAATGGAGGTTTCTAACTGTCCCTGAAGCAACACTGAAAGTTTAGTGCTAATAGACTTTTGGTTTTAAAAATCTCTCTCTGTTGAAGTTACAGGGCCTGTGAGCTTAAGCTCTAATGATTTGAGGAACAGTATCTGTCAGCCATGTAGCTGTTAACTGAAACAACTATAAACTTCTCAGAGGTTTATAACTGATAAACTGAGACAAACTGATCCTCATGATAAAGAGACAAGGAAAACAGAGCTGTGTTTTGTGTATAGATCATTTGCATTTGTCCCACAGTGGTAAATAAGAGTCAAGCACTGTACAGACACATCAAAATACATCTGGAACAATCAGCTAGGTCAAGCCAGGCTTAGTAGGTCTGGGTCAGTATAAGCCATGACATGCCTGGTCTGGGCAACATGGTGCTAAACCCATGGAGCGAGACTGAAGCCCGAAGTCTCCCCGTGGGCCAGGGCTGTGAGTTCAGACCCTGCTTGCCCTCCCCCAAACCAAGGCTCTCCTGTACTGGGAAGGGGAGACACCTTTATCAGGTTTTCCCAGGGTGAAACTCATCTCTTGCAGTTTGGGTGTGCTGACCCCTGTGATTTCCACAGATGCAAAGCTAATGAATAGAGCTGTAATCTGTTAATAGGTGACTCATTTCAGACCATGGCAAAAGCATTTTATTTGTAATGTGAAATACTAGGGCAAGGAAAAGCATATGTCACGGACTGGGGATAGAGGAAGAAGATATCAGAAAAAGGAATATAACCATGATTAAAGGCACACCCAAATTCCTTAAACATCATATTCAGAAAGTGCAATGAAGTGTGCAAATCATAGGAAGTTCCTAGTGACAGATAAACCTGAAAACATAGTAGCTGCCTGTTGCCTATTTACCAGTCAGACCCACCTTCTCCCTCCCTGCTCTCGTCCTCCTCCGGCCCCAGTACCCAAAATCACTGAAATGTATGCACTTTTCCAAGGATATGTATTAAAACACTTAAACCAGATGGAGGCTCAGAACAGCCTCAAAGCAACAGACCTGCTAACTTTTGATTTCCATAAAAAACAAAGGTAGTAAGATAAATGAAATATCAATAACATTGATTTTTTTGACTATTTTCTAAAGGACAGGCAGGATACATTAATATCTGAGTCTGGAAATGTGAAAGACAGCAGTAAGCAATATTGGAGAATATTTAATTTAGTAAAGGGCACTCCATGCAGATCCATGCAAAAATGATCAACTGGCATAGTAAGCCAGAGCATTTAAAGAAAGAAATATCAAATAAAAAATGGTAAGAAATATGCCTCTTTTTTTCTGAATTATATTTCTGTACCTTTCAACTTCTTCCCGAAACCACTGAAATGGACATTTAGTTAGCCAATAAATAAAAGCAGTGAGTATGTTTATAAATGATGCCATGCAATAGTCTCCAAAGTCAGCTGTCTAAATAGTGAGGGGGTTCTAAGTACTCTTAGAAATGTTAAATTTGCAGGTTTGGGGGGGAAAGTGTAGAATAGAATAACATGAGTATTAATACCAGCACTCTTTGATTTTATTTCTAACTCATTCAGAAGTTTTTATTAGTTTTTAATGTATAACTTGTGGCAACGTTTCACCAGAGAAAGATAAGTTAGGTAACCAAATAAGAAAGAGTGAACATGTGGGTATGTCCTCCTTTGAGTATGTATTGTTGTAAAGTAGTTGTTGGTATCTGTGGCAAATTATATGCCAGTATATGTGAAGAGATAGCCATAACTTTGGGCGTCATAACAGCGGAACATCATTGATGTCCAGTGATTTCATCTTTTAAAGTATATTACGTAGTGATCACTCTTGACGTATTTAGTTCTTCAGAAGAGAAACGCTGATTTAAGAGAAGTATCATAGGAGTATATACAATGAAATAACAGCGTATTGAACTCACTCCATGCTATTTAAGCTACAGTGGCAAGAAGCTGTATCTTACAGTGTAACACCTCAGGAAGTTTTCCTTTACTTTAAAGAAAAGATCCGTGGAAAGTGAACTTCTGTGATTTCCACAGCAGCAGCAATTTCAGAAGTAAATGGTCACAGGTGGTACAGAAGGAGATTATGCTGTAAATAATCAAGCCAGAACATTCTTATAGAAGGGCTTGTTAAATTTACGTTTTTGCATGTAACTTTTACATAATATTAAGTGGACATAGGTATTCTCAATATAGGATCATTTTTGTTCCCCAGGTGGGGCATCCCAGATGAAGCTCAGATTTGACTCTTATCAGAAATAATAGAACATTAAATATATTATGTGTAGTCTGGTGTTTTTTCATGATACCTGTGGAGACTGGCAAGCTGCATTCTTTGTCTTGCAAATTTTATGGTATAAATTAACATGTGGGTTTTTTTCTTATTATCAATTACTGAAATGAAATCTCTAAATTTCTATGTCTATGTAATTACTAAAAGTGCAGTTCTTGCAGAAACAATTGAAGAACAAGTGATCACTACATAGAGAGAAAAAGAGATATGGATCTCTAGTTGATTAAAAAAAAAATCCTTTTTGCCTCCTCACTCAAGAAGAAGAATAGAGAACAAAAAATGAACAGTCTGTTATTCCATGACAAATACATTATCTCGGTGAGGCTCCTTCTAACAGACATGGCTGTGATCGTGAGGAGCAGGTAGCACACGGGTCAGTGACAGGCATCAAGGTGACTAAGCTGAGGGGAACCGTTCACTGAATGACTAGAGTATAAATAGTCAGACGTGATGGGTTGTGAACTAGATCTGTTTGGTTTTAATCAGTCTTTCATTGCCGGTGTTGCTTTTTAACATTACATATATTATTGCTTGATTATACCAAGAAAAATATGTTGTATTTTAACACAAAGGGAATCTAGTACAGTATGCCATCATCCTCATGGCAGAAAGGGCACTGGTAGCACATGAGCATAAAAAATGGCATTCCAGCTTTTGTGAGCTGGTTGCTGATAGCAACTTGATGAAAAATGGATCTACCTTACTTTTATAATGAGGTCAGAATGATTAAGCCAGCATGGTGGGCCCAGTGTGCAACTCCTACTGCTTTCAAAGACTGAGTTGTGTTGTGTTGTGTTGTGTTGTGCTGGCTGGATCTTCAGTTGAGGTGAGATGAGGGGCAGCATGGCTGGGAACAGCATTACTCTTCCAGGCAGCTTCCCATCGGAGAAGGGAAAAGGGAGCGTGGCACAGGGAGTCCTGAGAAAACATTGGATCTGGTGCCAGTGGCACGTACAGTCTGTGGATTGTTGTCAGCCCTGGGTGGGTCTTTTATTGGCAAACCATCTCTGATGGTCGTCAGAATAGCGGACAGATAACAAGGACGGTGGCTGCAGAAAATTGGTCCTTAGGGAAAGTAAATACTGAATTGGACTGGCTGAGGGAGGGGAGCATGTACTTTGGTGAAAGTAGAAGAGAGGGGAAACTGTTAGTCTGTCCTTTTGCTGCATCTTAGTAGGTCACATTTTGTTGGTTAAAATGTGTTTAAAAAAACCCACTACTGACACTGAAATAAAGTGATGAGCCCAGAATGAAAGAAATCCCACAGCAGCCTTCAGAGTTCCTGAAAGTGCTGAAGATGGTTAAGTTCTGTTCTTAGATATGCAGGAATGATCCTGGTGGGGTGAAACATCTTGTCCAAAGTCACAGAAAGTATCAGAAGTAATTTTAGGAAAAGAATTCACCGATTTGCTCCTTATTCTGTGTTTTTAAAAAAGACTGTATATTGATATAAGAAACCAACTTCAGTAATCACTGTTAATTCTCCAAACAAAATAACTGTCACTGTTCTTAGAAAATTGAGAGGCAAATGATTAATTCCTGCTGTGGGGTATGATGTATGCGGGATTCATTGAAATATTTAGTTGACTAATGGTTGGATAAGTATGGATATATGCTCTAAGATTGTAACACTTATAAATCTTAGAATCCTCTGTATGCATAATAATATGGAAGCTAATTTTTCAGCTTCCCCTAATGCCTCATTCATAGTTTCAGTGAACTGTGGATCCAGATTCAACATGAAAAGTCACTTGTAATCATGTGAAATGAAGAAGTTGCGATTACGATGTGAATATTTTCTTGGAAGGACTAAATGAGTGGATTATGTACTTATCCCTTATTTAATAATACCTAAATGAAATAGTCCTAAGGAACTAGAGGATTAACAAATAAGAAGTATAATACACAGCAAGCGGTCTAGCTGAAGAAAGACTACATAATCTAAAATATCCTCAACTAAATCCACTGTAACAAATTTAGCTGGGAGACTGAATTACTTCAGATAGATGCGTGCTTACAGTGGTCCATTTGGGTCAAGGCTAAAGTTCAGGAAGGATAGAGAAAGACTCTCAGGCTGCCTTTGTGTTCTTGTACCTATCCAGTCCATGAGTAGAGGACTCCAGCTGTGAATGGACATAATCTTCTTAAGAGTAAAAAATCTAAATATTTGTGTAAAATCAAGCCAACAAATGTAGCATGGTAGGGATACACTGAGGAGCTTCAGTTCTGTTGTTTGTAAATCTCGGAGTCATTGTGCAGCCCAGCTCTCACTAAGGTCAGTTGAAAAATCTGTTGACTTCAGTATATGGAGAACAGCAGTTCACCAATTAAACGACTTATTTTCTCCCAAACGAACATTTTACCAAAGTTGCAGAATATACACGAAGACAGATTGATTTCATATGTGACTGCATTCAAAAGTGTTGGTATTTCTGCATGAAAGGTGCACTCAATTTCTGCATTAATGAAATTGCATTTACAGGTTCTAAATGACATTATCAGAGAGTAAGGACGTGCATTTTAGTGTTGCTTAGTGACACAAGTTAAGGACCCATGTTTCCATTCCTAGTTCCTAGCTACCTTCTTTCATCTAAAACAGTTTCCTCTCTGCTTTTTTCCAGGTCTGGAGTTGGTGTGACAGGTTCTAGGCAGACGTTGTTTTATGCAGAAGTAACAGACCAGATGAGAACTGGTGAAGGAGGTGGCCAGGCTGAAGAAGGAGAGCTGATTGAAGTTGTAGAAATACCTTTAGAAGACTCTATGAAGTTTGCTTATGATGAGACTCTCCCGAAGACGATGGGTGTCATCTTCAGCTTCATGTGGTTCCAAAACAACATCGCACCCAAGTTACCAAAAAAATAAAGCGCCATGATTTTAAGAAAAGCTTTCCTGATGGTTCTGAGGATAGAAGAAATTGCAAATCTGCCTGTCTTGGTCAACTCAACTTTTCACAGAGAAAAATCTTTCTTTAAATAAATTTGGAAATCTAAATTAAAATCCTGACTTGATTTCCATCTTTAGTAAAACACTTACAGGCTTCACTGGGGCCAGGATTTGCCTCTGAGAAGCAAATGTTGATTTTTGCACAAAGGCTAAGCAAACGTGCCCAGTTCTCCTTTTCCATGGCACTGCTCTATCACTGTTTTGAAGAGTTGCTCAGGACTTTAGCGCAGCTGCTGTACGAGCCTGTCACTCTGGTCTGTACATACTGGCAGCTGTGTATTCACTGTAGTTTCTGACATTTCGGGGGGAGGCAGCACACCATAATAGTCACAGATAAACGCTAACTACGTTCCTGAGTTCTGCACAGCTTTCAGGGAGCATCTTTCTTGGTGGTGTGTAGCTCCTGTACAAAGAAAATGTTTGCATTTCTGAACATGAAAACCTTTATTTCATAAGCAAACATGTCTGTAAATCCTTCTGCTAATGTGTCATTTTGACAATAGACCAGCTGTAAGATTATGTGCTTCTGTTTGTTCCCACTATAATGCTGAGCAGCAGTGATGTGCTGGAGGGTTGAATGATGGGGGCTTCTCCTGGAACACATGCTTCTTTGTTTGTTTTATGGGTAATACTTGATTAATTAGATCAAACTTGGTCCTCTAGAGCAAGACTCGAGAGGCCAAATTCTTTTAATTTGACCCTGAGGTGACTAATACAAGTGATTTCTCTGAGGTGTGGTCTCTATTTCCTTATCACCTAAATGGGAAGAATGGGACTTAACCCCTCAGATAACGCTCCTTGAAATCTAGTGATCAGAAGTGCTTTACTGAGAGATTGTTTCACTGCTTGTGCAGTTTACATCGAACCCGTGCAACCTGCACAGACGTACTGAGCAGCACGATTTAATAAAGTGGTCTAATTAGAGTGTTTGTTACTGGTTCTATCAGAGCAGTTTAGATGTGGACTATTTGTCAGGTGAAACTGTTAAGAGCATGAATGAAAGGGAATCAAGTGTGGCAATTTCATTATGCACTGGTTTATGTTATTCACTGAGTTAATTAACATGTCTACATTAGATGTGCTTCCAGGATTACTGATGGACTAGGTATGTTTAGAAGATGAGTACTGCAAATATACAGACTTTCATACAGCAACTGGAATAAATGCAGTGCAGATGCCTGAGGGATTCCAGTGGCTGATTTAAAATCACTGCGTGTCTAAATAGATGTGTAAATAACTTTTTTTTTTTTTTAAATGCTTTTAGAACTGGTACTTGCTGGTTCTCCTGCTGACAGGGAGGAAAGGTCCTTGGAAAGCCAGTGAAGAAAGAGCAGCCTTCATCTGTGAGAGTCAGACACTTCTGTGAAAGTTCAGCCACATTTGCATTGAACTGTGCCTGGTCTGTGGTGAGTCGAGGGTGGAGTTATCATGAAAAGCAAATAAATTCTGTCTGTCTGGTGTATTTACATTGGAAGGTGTTTTAGGGCGGGGTCTGCACTGCTCAGCATCTTTACAGTGTGTAGTGCAATGTGTCCTGATTGCTGCTGAGGCCTTTACAAACCGCTACAATATGTATAATAAATAATGTCTTTTATTCCAGGCTGTAGAAACAAAAGTATCTATCTGATTCTATCAAAATTATTATACAGTAGCTTGTTGATCTGTTTCATGTCAAGGTAATAAGTGTGTGTGTATACATGTCAAAAGCCTTTTTTGATGTATAATGCAGTAATTTGAAAAAATAAATGAAGTGTAGTGGAGGAGGGTCAGAGTTTAAAACTGTTCAAAGCAGAATTTATGTATTTATACCATTTGCCCTTGAATTACAAATGAACAAAACTCCACTGCTAATGAGGCTCTTCACGCGATGCTGAGAGCTTTCCCCCAGTCAGACATTCCCTCCCCTGCCCCATCCAGGACCTGGAGTCAGAGCTTCTGGAGATGCACCCACATTGCCTTAACGGCCTCGGTGAGAGCCTGTGGCTTTGACCTGCCCGCGCGGGTGCCAAGCGTTCAAGGTGCGATTCACCAGACTAAATACACATTTCACTGATCAGTCTGTCTGCAAGTGCCTTCAAACCTCTGCACCTGCATTCGGTTTGGACTCCTCAGACCTCCTGGAGGAGACAGGCCTGATCTGATCAGGCCAGTGCTGGATCTGTCGTGCCACCAGGCCACACGCATGTGATGAACAGCGGCAGGCTGCCAGGGAGAGCACACGGCCGTACCTAGTGAGGCAGAGGATGGAGGTCCCAAAATCTCTGCGCATCACACAGCTGGTGCCAGCCGCTCGTGCCTTGGCTGCATGTCTTTGAGCCAGACAGTTTGAAACACCGATTTTTTGCGTCCTCCAAGGCGCTGTGGCGGTTCCCCTAACGTCGGGAGGACGCCAGGGGTGGTGCCAGACTTGCCAACATCTGGCGCAAAGCGCTGCCGCTGGTCAGCAGCAGGCTGTTCCCCCTGGCTCACACAGCAGGGTGGAGGGCTTGCAAGTTGGACGTGCCTGAGGCCTGTCTGCTGGACGTGCCTGGGGCCGCGCAGGGCGGTACAGAGGAGCCGCCGCCACCAGAGCAGCAGCAGCAGAGGTTTTCCAGGCGTGGGTGAGGGTGGGAAGTCTCAGCGTGGGAAGAGGGGACACAGCACGGAAGGGAGCACGGGGAAGCCACAGCCCTCATGAGGGTGCAGGGACAGCCTCATGACCTCACCAGTGCAAGCAATGGGCTTCAGACTAACCATTTTTTATGCAGTTGCTAATTCTCTTCCAGATAAGTGTGACAGAGGGCAGTTCATGAGCTGGGCAGTCCCTCAGCACTTCATGATGCGCAAGGCCAGGCAAGAAGCTGAGCAGAATTGCCCCCACCTACCGGTCCATCCCACCCCAGAGGTCTACGGGGCAGACATCTACAGAATCCCAGGGGACTGCAGTGGCTCTAAAGCCTTTACACCCCAAGGGATGCTACACCCTGGCCCTGTGCTCTGCCCAGCCGTCACCACGATTTGTAATTCTCAAACAGCAAATGGTCAAGGGATTACATTGGCTTCCTTCCACAGTTTGAGAATTTTTCCACAAAACCAGCAGAGATGCAATACCATGGAAGCTGTACATAGAGTAATACGTCTGGTGTTTGGCTTTGCAATATTAAATATGAACATATCTTCATCCTTTTCCTTTTGCCATGTTAATTTTGGGGAGGATTTTCATTAAGAATTAGTAAGGTTTGAAAATTCAGTAGAAAGGGCTTGAACTTTTTTTTTAAAAGAGTAGATGATTCATATTTATAAAAGTAAAACCACACCACTGGATGCATCACCGAAACTATGAGACAGTTTCTGGGTGGAAAATGCTTCGTTTTCTGATGCCAGGCTCCCCCTGTGCAGTGCAAACCCCTTCCTTCCTCGTTGAGAGGTAAACCAATTCTGATGCCACTTCTCTCATCAGGTCTCATTTCAAAGATCATAATTAGAGCAAATACAATATACATCAGCCAAGCCCAGGCAGGAAAAAACTGCTTCTAATGCAAGCTTGAAATCATGCCTGTGTTTTAGCTGCATCCTTTGCATGTGCCACTGCACACATGTCCATTGAGAGCAGACAGTTCAGAATAAAACAGGGTCCCCATTTGTTAGTAATGAATACCGACTCCAGCCTGCAAAACTCTTACCTCATCTCATCCAAGCCCCCCATGTCATCAGCATCTTTCTCTAATTGAGTACATTGGGGTGGTCTGCGCTTAAGAAACAAATCTTAGCATCTCATCTTTATGATGTGGCTTTGGGATCCAGAGATAATCTAATGAAGCTGAAATTATGACTCAGGCTTCTAATGAAGCCTGCAATTATAAAATCTTGAATGTAATGTCACTGTCAGTCTCGCTATTTGGTGGTATACGAGACATCACCAGCACCTTGCAAGTACAAGGGCCTCTATTATTGTTGTTTATTACCCTATTGGTAAAGTATCTGTAAACCCTGAGCTACTCCCAGGTCTCACAGTATTATCACTGAACAGTGATACGATTAAAATTCCTTCTTTAAAAGGCTGACACGTTCAATAAGCTGAGTTACACGGTGGGGGCAGGTGTGGGGATGGGGTGCGGGGTCCCCCGGCCTCCCTTGCTCCCTGGACACGCAGGGATGCTCCTTGTGCTGCTGGAGTCGCGCTCCCCTGGCAGGCGGCCGCTTGCCTTTTTGCCCGCTCCCTCATTACCATCCCTCCCCGCCAACGATAAAAGCAGCATTCCCTGACTCCCTGCAGGGCCATGGCCGAGGCCAGACCAAGGGCAACCGATATAATTGCTCCTGAAATACACGTGCTGACCGAGCGGGGCGACCCATTGGACAAATAGGATTTTTGCTAAATTAGGACAATTGCCGAGCATGCTTCATCCCCTCGCCGGGGCTCTATACATAGATGAAAGGCACACCCAGTTGTGAAATCTGTTGAAATGGCACACCTGGTGCTGTCTGCAAGTCTATTCACAACCGTTAGCAGGTGCGACAGCCTTTGTGGCCATAAAAGTCTGGCTGCGCAGCTCCTGCTGTGCTCCCTGCGCCTTCGCCGCCCTGCGCGCTTTGGCAGGGGAGGCTGTCACAGATTAATGCGGTTGTTTGAAGCTGTTAGGAGCCACCGCCTGAAGCATGTAGCGGCTTCAGAGGGATCAGAATAAGGCCTGTGCACACAGGGCGGATTTGCAGCTTCGGTCTCGGTGGCTTCGCCGGGGTGGAGGTAACGAGCAGGGCAGGGCAGAACAGGGCTGCTGCCGGAGCAGGGACACAGGACAGCATGGTCCCCATTTCAGCACTCCCAGGGATGCTACAGAGTGGCCCTGCCAGCAGGTACCAACGATCTGCAATCTAGACTCTGTTTGGGCTCAGCCTCTCCAAAAAAAAGGATTTTTCTTACTCAGCTTTGAGATGCTACATCTCAAACAGCGCAGCAGTAAGGTGGAGCTAAAACCCCAGCCCCAATCCAGACTTGAATTTAATTTATGGAAGAGCTCTGTGGACTTTGGAGCAGATTTTCAGCAGGAGTCTTCATTTCCACTGGTTCACAGGATTTTGCTCGCTGTGAGCAAAAGGATGCTCATACAAATCCTGTGCTACTGCAAAAGTTACTCCTCAATTTGTCTAATCCTTCAGAGCCAGTCTCACTATAATTGGGAACACATTTTTACAAGGGCTTTAATTGTTCTCTGGATGAGTCACGAGGGAGGAGAAGTCATAGCACAGCTAGATGGCCCAGATTCGCAGCACTCAGAGCTCTCTGGCCTGCCTCAGGACTGTCTTCAGTGCATTTCTCGTAACTGGAAATACAATCAGATACGTATTAAACCCTGCCAGCTACACACTGTATTGCTTTGCTGATGAAGTACTCAATATCCTGTGCTGGCTTCTGTCTCTAATAAA